GGAGGGGGGGAGGAGGAGGGGAGGGGTGGAGGAGGAGTGGAGGAGGAGGGGAGGGGGGAGGAGGGGGAAAAGGGGGGGGGGGAGGAGGAGGGGGGAGGAGGGGGCGAGGAGGGGAGGGTGGAGGAGGGGAGGGATGGAGGAGGGGAGGGGTGGAGGAGGGGTGGGGTGGAGGAGGAGGGGAGGGGTGGTGGAGGGGAGGAGGGGAGGGGGAGGAGGGGCGGGGTAAAGGAGAGGAGGAGGAGGGGAGGGTGTAGGAGGATGAGGGGGAGGAGGGGTGGAGGGGAGGAGGGGTGGAGGGGAAGGGGGTGGAGGGGGAGGGGGGGAGGAGGGGAGGGGTAGAGGAGAGGAGGAGGAGGGCAGGGGGTGTAGGAGGATGAGGGGGGAGGGGAGGAGGGGGAAGGGGAGGGGGTGTAGGAGGAGGGGAGGGGGTGTAGGAGGAGAGGAGGAGGGGAGGGGGGTAGGAGGAGAGGGGGTGGAGGGGAGGAGGGGAGGGGGTGTAGGAGGATGAGGGGGTGGAGGGGAGGAGGGGAGGGGGTGTAGGAGGATGAGGGGGTGGAGGGGAGGAGGGGAGGGGGTGTAGGAGGATGAGGGGGTGGGGGGGAGGGGGTGGAGGCGGAGGGGAGGGGTGGAGGAGGAGGGGTGGAGGAGGGGAGGGGGTGTAGGAGGAGGAGGAGGGGAGGGGGTGTAGGAGGATGAGGGGGTGGAGGGGAGGAGGGGAGGGGGTGTAGGAGGATGAGGGGGTGGAGGGAGAGGAGGGAGGGGGTGTAGGAGGCTGAGGGTGCTGGGCGGGAGGAGGAGGGTGGAGGCGGAGGGGCGGGTGGAGGAGGAGGGGTGGAGGAGGGAGGAGGGAGGGGTGTAGGAGGAGGAGGAGGGAGGGGGTGTAGGAGAGGGCAGGGGGTGTAGGAGGATGAGGGGTTGTAGCGAGGATGCGGGATGGGTGGTGTAGGAGAGGAGGGGGGGGGGTGTCCCGGAGCCCACGCGAAATCTGCCGCGCGCACGAATCTGCGGCTGGGCCTGGCGGGACGGGACGCGGGGGGCATCCACCAGCAGCAGCGGCGGCGGCGGCGGCCGCAGCAGCAGCAGCACACAGGGCACAGAGCACAGAGGCGGGAGGCGAGCGAGAGGCAGCGACTCTCCCACAATATGCGGCCACACGCCTCTTCTCCTGCTGCTGCTGCTGCTGGCAACCCCCTTGCTGTTGCTGCTGCCATTCGTCTTGTTGCCGCCGGCGCCCCGACGGGACTACGCGGCCAGACGTGGGTGCCGTTTTGTGGAAGCTTGATGCTGATGCTGCTGATGGTGGTGTTGGTGTTCGTGTGAAGAGGCTTTTGGTGGTCGGTGGTCTTCTGGGCCGCCTACTACTTCCCGGGGTGTCCTCCACCCCCTTCCTCCTCCTTCTGCTGGAAGAAGGGCAGAGAGGGTCATGTCGTCAGGTCTTCGGGAGAGGCGAGACCCGGGCAGCGACCGGCTGTCAGGGTCCACGAACAGACGGGAGCTGGAGACAAGAGAGGAGCTGCTGCTGCTGCTAGTGAGAGACATACAGTCTACACTGTCATCTGTGTGGAAGCTTCAGCAACATGATAAGCATCGATAACCGCTTCCTCATCATCATCAGCAGCAACAGCAGCAGCTTCTACATCATCATCGTCAGTCATGAGCGTGGTTAGCATGATCAGGAACTTCATGGGCTTCATCATCAACTTCATAATAATTACCAACAGCAGCATCTCCATCATCAGCAGCAGCAACTTCTTCATAACCAGCTTCATAATCATCATAGTTAACACCAACAGCAGCATTTCCAGCATCAGCGGCAGGAGCAACTTCATCATCATCAGCAGCAACTTCTTCATAACCAGCTTCATAATCATCATCATAGTTAACACCAGAAGCTTCATTTTCAGCAGCAAGCGTGTCATCATCATACTCATCCACTTCATTATCATGTCACCATCATCATCATAATGTCACCATCATAATTACGAGTTACCAATATGATTTGTGTCACGATACAGTATTTTTGTCACCAGCATCATCATCGTCATCGTTGTTTGTTGTCGTCTGAGTCTGGCTGCTGATGCTGAACCGAATTTCAGAGACACACACTCTGAACACACTCATGTTATTGTATGTACAGTGTCCATGTGTGAAAAATGTATATGTGTACTTTGTTAATTGCGTGTGTCATGATGTGGCGTGTTTGGTGTCTGGCACGAGTTCAGTGTGTACACACACACACTGTGTACACACACACACATGCACAATAAATAGTATGTGCCTTGGACAATATGCTGTGTGTATTGTGCATGCACAACACGCTGTCCAATACACAGTGTATTTTATGATACAATACACTGCTCATTGTACATTAGTATTCACGCAGCACACGTGTGTACCACACACAGTACATACTAATAGACTCACACCGTTTGGACTCTTGCCATGTGGACAGTGGCGTGTGTGTTTTGCACGTACAGTACACGGTGTGCACTGTACACGCAACACACGTGTTGCGTGTACAGTGCACACGGGCACTGTACGTACTGTATGTCACGTGGGGACACAAACAGACAACACAGACGACTCAACACGTACACCTATGTGATGTAGTTATTTTGGAAAGTAATCACTTTGTGCGCGTGTGTATTTTGTGTGCTCTATGACACTTGGGCAATATTTGTGCGTGTTCTATGTACGTACACATTTCGTACTGCACACATTTTCACAATAGTACTGTTTATCACGTGGACATACACTTTTGTGTATTCACATTCCGTGGGGGGTACGTACTTTACACGTGTGTACATTCTTGCCATGTGTTTGCAGTGCATGAACTGTCACGTGTTGAAACAATCTACTCGCTACATGGTACACGTACAGTATGTATTCTGTCACATGTATACTTGTTTGTAGTGTGTTCTACATACATCATACGTATCTGCGTCCTGCCTGTGAAAGTTTATACGTGGAACACTCATGTGCACAAACTCTTACACTTGTACACATACGATGTGCCCACACTATCTGCTACATGCAGTGCAAGTCTCAGAAATATGTACCAGTGTGTACACACTGCACGTGTATACACTGTAGGTGCACACGTGCTACAACATAGACTTTGTACTCCCTGTCTCTTGCACGGGGAGTGTTTTTCGTTTAATGTCTACATAGTAGTACATGTGTGTACTGTATGTACACACTAACAACATAATACATGGACAATGTCTTCATCACTGTATTGTACGTGTGTGCATTCTACTTGAAGTACACGTGTGTGAATGCTGTACACGTTTTGCTTACAGAACACGTGTAGAACACGCATTGTGTGTGTGTACTGTACAAGTGTGTCATACAGCTCACGTGTGTTCCAGACTGCGCACGTGTACGCACGAAGCATGCCACAAAGTACACCCATGATGATGTCCGTCACTTTTACAGGAAGCCCACTTCGTGTTTTCTACGCACGGCTACACGTGTGTAAAGTCAACGTGTGTGCGTACAGCACATGCGTGTACGTCCTGCCCGTTCGCACACCACCGATACTGCACGCGCTGTAAGCACGCACATTCCACGTGTGTGTACAGTAGTACAGTGCACGCGTGCAGCACAGCGTGGTAAGCGCAGTGATGCACTGTACGCACTGTACACAATCCAACACATGGCATGGGTATGCGCCTACGTATGAGCGCATTGCACCCTCTGCACGTGTGCGTTATACACCAAGTTGTTTGTTTGGGGGACGGGCAAACGTGTTGGACGAGTATGCGACGTGAGTCTATGTGTTCGCGCTCACTGGTACTCGCTCGCTCGCTCTCCTTCCACACGGTGCAGTGTCTGGCTGCTGGAGAACGACCCACGTAGGTTTGTAAGATCGTGGTCGTAGGGATGCTACTGACGTCCTTTCGCTGTACTCGCAGCAGCAGTAACAATAGCAGCAGCGCTGCTCCTGACGGCGCTAACCTCGCCGAAACCCCCCGCCGCTGCTGCCGCTCCTTCTACCACCGTTACTGCTGCAGTCCCTGCTGCCTCTACTGCTGCTGCTGCCACGAACACTTCTGCTGTTGCAGCTTGCTGCTGCTGTTGCAGCTTGCTACTGCTACTACTGCTGCTGCCACGAACACTGCTGCTGTTGCAGCTTGCTGCTGCTGCTACTGCCACGAACCCTGCTGCTGTTGCTGCTGCTGCAACGAACACTGCTGCTGTTGCAGCTTGCTGATACTGCTGCTGCTGCTACTGCTGCTGCCACGGACATTGCTGCTACTGCTGCTACTGCCACGAAGCCTGCTGCTGTTGCAGCTTGCTACTGCTGCTGCTGACACGAACACTGCTACTGTTGCAGCTTGCTGCTGCTGCTGCTACTGCTGCCACGAACACTGCTGCTGTTGCAGCTTGCTGCTACTGCTGCCACGAACACTTCTGCTGTTGCAGCTTGCTACTGCTGCCGCTGCCAGTCACCCTGCTGTTGCTGATACTCTAGCTGCTGCTACCTCTACTGTTGCTACACCTGCTGCTGATACACCTGCTGCCACTAGCCCCTGCCACTGCTGCTACTGCTGCTACTGATACTCCTGGTGCTGATGACCTCTGTTGATACCCCTGGAATTACTGCTACCTCTGCTGCTGATACATCTGCTGCCACTAGCCCTTTCCACTGCTGCTACTGCTGCTACTGATACTCCTGGTGTTGATGACCTCTGTTGATACCCCTGGAATTGCTGCTACCTCTGCTGCTGGCGGTACCTCTGCTGCCCCCTAAAACGCGACTGTCACTCCTGCTGCAGGCTCCGTGAACGGGGTGATCCCTGGAGGAGGAGGCGCTGCAAGCGGAGGAGCGAAGAAGCAGCACTGGAGGAGCTACAAGCTGCTGGTGGATCCAGCGCTGAAGAAAGGCCAGCACAAGCTCTACCGATACGATGGGCAGAGCTTCCAACCGCAGGTGACGTGTGTGAGCGAGCGAGTGTCTTGGAGGAGCGACGCTCACAACAACGAGCGGAGCGCCGGGTGGCTAAAGCACAGCAAGTTGGTACAGTAGGGGGCATAGGTGGTGCATCAGCCAGTCATCTCGGTCATCTCGGTCAGTCGACCCGTGACCTCCTGCCAGCGGGCGTTCGACACTTCACGTGGCCTCAAGGTGCACTTGGCCTGGCACAAGCGTCGTGGTGACGTCACCGCCACTTAGTGGCAAATGGCGGTTGTTGTTGTCTTGGCTGACTGTCTGGGCCAGTGGTGTTGGCGAGTAGCACCTATGAAGGCCGGAAAGCTACGCATGGGGGTGGGTTGCCAGCACCACGCCCGGCCGCCTTTGTCTCCCCAGTTACGATGTTTGCACAACGCACCAGATACTCAATTGAGGCTGAGTCGACCTAGGGGAGGGCCCAGGACCGACTTTGGCCACTAGCGGGAATCAAACTCGGGTGCTCGCTTACAGCACTTGATCTTTGTATTTCTCTTTGTCTGCCTGACTGAGTACGATTGAGTGAGTTTCTGAATCACTTAGTGTTGCATGTTTTCTAATTGGAGTGTGTCAGTGTGTCAGTGTTTTAGTGAGTGTCTGAATGAGTGTAGCGGTTGAATATCTGAATGAGTGTGAGTGTGTCAGTATGTTTGAGTGGCTGAATGACTTGGTGTCATACGTGTGAGGGATGGGAGTGAGTGAGTGTCATTGAGTGTGAGGATGTGTGTTGCTATGTTTGTGTGAGTGTCTGGATGACTAAGTGTGTGAATTGGGTGTGTGAATTAGATTTGGTGAGTGAAAGAGTGTGAATGATTGTGTGTGTGGGGCTTTGTGTATGATTCTGTGTGTGTAACGGTGCGTGGAACGATCCTTGTGTGTGTGTGACTGTTTCCGGCAGTATTTCTCACTGTTTATGTGTAACTTTGAGACTGTGTCTGTGTGTGACTGCTTGAAGCTGTGTGACTTTGTGTGTGTGTGCGCGACCGTGTTAAGAGTGAGTGAATGAGTCTGTGAGTTTGAGTGCAAGTTAAAATTAGTTTCTGCGTTTTGGTGTTTGAATGCAAGAGTGAGTGTCTAATTGAGTGTGATTGAGTGGGTATATATTTACGTCTGTGAGAGTGTGTGTGTTTAAATGCGAGTGAATGAGTGCCTGAGTGTGTGAATGTGTATTCGAGTTAGTGAGAACCTTGAGTGTATGGGTTTGTGAGTGTGTATTTAAGTGTGTGTGTGTTTTTTTTCTGTGTTCATGGTGCCGGGGAGTGGTGGAACAGCAAACCCAGAAACCTGAGTTTGATACACGGCTAACATAAGTGGCGAAGTGTTGCCACATCCGTTCCTGGGCCTCCCGCCTAGGCCTACTCAACTTTAACACGAGTACCTGTTACAGTGTGTAAGCGTAGGCAACGGGGAGGCCCAATGTGGTTCTAGCCACACCACACATCTGTGCGCTTATGATGCATTCTCGCATCACGTAAACCTTAGAGCTATTCTCTGTGTAATCGGTGACTGGGTGCTGTCTAAAGCAGCACCCCAGCCCTCCACCAGGCAAACCACACACAACACCACACCGCCAAGACAAAAACCCGAATCACAACAACTAAACACCACAGCCCCCTGTCTGCCCTCCACCCTGGGTTTCACAGCGCACACATATTGGCCTACGGGAGCTCACGTAGAACAATAGGGCAATTTAATTGTCCCTTTGAGCTCCTTTCCCCGACAGCGCGCTAATTGAAGCCGTTTCACCTGCGAGTGTTTTCACCGCAGCCTCGCCGTGTCCCGCTCCTTCGCTGGCCCTCCCCCCTTTGCGATGCCCCCTTCGTGTGCCATGACCTTGCCCTGACCCCTCGCGCCACTGCCATGCCCACCACCACCCTCCACCCGTGCATCTTACAGAATCCCGGGCTGCCGCCCGTCACGTCCGTACATGACCCGCGCGCTTCCCGGCGATGGACGCGAATCGTGGAGGCCGAGTTGCCACTGCCCAAGTTCAAGGTGAGGCCTGCGACAAGGCTTGTTGTGACGTGGGCGACACCATGGTTCGCCGTACGTACAGTGGTTCGCGAATCGTACGCGCTGTACGCAATGCCTTCATGTCACCCCTGCAAGCCACCAGTGGGCTGTTACATTCACTGCACTGTTTAAAAGAAAGTAATTGTTGAAACGATTTGCTATCCTGAGTTGTGACAATAGCATTGGAGGGGTAGTTGTGAATGGTGATTCCATCCACCTGTCGTGTCTCGATTCTAATTTCGGAATTAGTCGCAAATCGTTACACACCTAATTAATATGACACTTTAATGAAATCATGAGCTGATGGCTGGTTTCACTCGTTCTTTTCTCCGCTAATGCCCCCCCCCCTCCCAATCCAATGACCCTCACCCGGCAGATTGATGAGTATTACGTGGGCCCGATCCCGCCGAAGGAGGTGACCTTCGCGAAGCTCAACGACAACATCAAGGAGCACTTCCTAACGGACATGTGCAAGAAGTTTGGCGACATTGACGCCATGGAGATCCTGCACCATCCCAAGACGAGGAAGCACATGGGCCTGGCCAAGGTGATCTTCACCACGGTGAAGGCGGCCAAGGAGGCTGTGGAGAAACTGCACAACACGTCTGTGATGGGAAACCTCATGCACGTGCTGCTCGACAACGGAGGTGAGGGGGCGGTGTGGTATGCTGCAGCGTGCAGTGGAGGAATGAATGAGAGATAGTCCCTTTCACTTGCTGGATCGTGGTGACTAGAATGTGATGCATAAAAGTCATCGACAAGGGATTCCCTTATAGCCATTTCAGAATGTGCTATTAGTGAGCACCTAGGAAGGTTAGCACAGCACACGAGGTGTGGACAGAACCATGATGTTTATACATCACACCAGGTTGTCCTTCCCCGCACTTCCGATAAGCGTGGTTAGCTATGTGCGGTGTGAAAGAAGTTCAACATACATACTGAGAAGGAGGCCCAGGACTGGTGCAGATAATGGCCACTGGTGTTTGCCGTGAGCGGGAATCAAACTCAGGTCGTCGGGTTCGTAGCGCAACGCACTAACCGCTGCACAACCACTCCCCACAAACAAAAATTGTGTCTATACACACACTCAAACTCAAACACTTAAATATACATTCACTCCCACGTGTGCACAAAATAAAACACTGTCATTCACTCTCATTCACTCAAATATGCATTCACTAAAACTCACTCATTCAAACGTGTGCAAACATACATTCACCTCCATGCACATTCAATCAAAGATGCACGCCCACACTCACTCACTCACACACTCACACTCAATCAAACACACTCACTTCAACGAACTCACGCTCAAAGATGCTTAAATACACGCACTCCAACACACATACTTAAACACACACTCAACCAAACACTAGGCCACTATCATCCCTTCTAGACATGATGCATACCTGTCAACCCCTTATCAGCGCCTACCTTATTACAGACCAATTCAGACCTTATTGGTCACCTCGAGCCCTTGTAAATCTCAACGTTCATCCTACAAAGTCCCATCACAAGGGAGAAACACAAAACAAATAGACAAAACATTATTTTTGCCCGTATTGAACGGCTGTACACCATATGGACCTGAAAACTCAATTGGGTAGGAGGCATGATGCCTCCTACCGAAATCTACTCAACTTTATAACAGTCAAGAACATCGACATACTCGAATCAAAACACAGCGATCTTTGCACGTGCAATTTTCTGAATGCATGTATCGGGAAAGTAGAAATGGACGGAGTTGAATCAATGTATCAGTGCATCGTTAAACTCGCTGATAGCCACTCCTGTGTGGAAGAGCTTTCCAGCTTAATGAGGAGCTTGCGCTCTTTAATCCTCACGGGACGCCGATGTTCGTATCGCACAGGCCGGTCAATTCCACGACACAATTTCTCCATTTGTCCACAACAGGCCACCTCGCACTCAAAACTCCGCACGGATAGATTCTAGAATCCGTTGCCATACTGTGAATCTCCTGGCCGCTGCGCGGTGCTGGACTGCCAATGAGATAAACGGGACTTTTTTTTAAGTAGCCTTATCCTTTCCTCAAGAAGCAAACCTAGATATGTGGCGGCCTGGAAACTGGTTTGTGTTTTGTACTAGGAGCGTGTAAAATTAGCTGGCACCCTTCCTTAATGATATGTGTGCCCGGGCACGTAACGACGCATCACCAAGGGATGCTACACGTATCCATTGTTGCTCGCGATGATCCATTGTTTTCGATCGATTGTATTGTCACTTTCAATTGGTTAGCGTCACCCCTCCATCCGCGGGAGGCGCTGCTCCATTCACCGCAGCGTCAACAAAAACGTTGATTGAATTTACTCGCAGCCTTGAATCGTGCCGATTGATTGAATCGCCGGGGTCGGCTGGCGGTGATATTTTTCACCCTGACTAGGGATCCACAAATCTCTCTCACCCAAAGTTCGCTGCAAAATTTACCAGGGTTGTCAGGTAATTTGAAAGTCCGTATCCATCTCCAATAATTACAAGATTTTCAATCACCTGCAATACACTCCGTATATGTGAATCGAAGAACTCTGCTCTTTACGCAGTGTGATTCGATACATCTGCGGTGAGCTCAAGAACCAATATTAATTGGTGAATCTATGCATCGTCACACCCTTAATCACCGGCATTCTCTGGCGAAATGTTAGAATGCACGGGCCGGAGGGAAGAGAGGTTGGCAGTTGCCAAATTATTTCCCTTTTTAGCATCGCGTGCCGGTTGAGACAGGAGGCGCTTGCTGTGCTCATACATTTCTCTCACACGCAAATGTTTAGCGTCATAGGCTGTCAGGGCAAGTACTGTTGGCAAGCATGTGACACATGAGAAAGGCCGATGTGGCCAATACCATTCCAGAGCCGCCTTTGTCTCCCAAGTACTGATGTTCAATAATAATGAGGATAGGAACGGACATGTCGATTGCGCCGTAACAAGGGCCCTTAAATCACCACACCAGCTGTTCATGTAAAGCTGAGTCGCCCTAGGGGAGGTCCAGCACCTATTCAGATGACGCTTGCCACTCGAAGTTTTAAGTTTGTTTTGTTGAGCCAGGTGAGAACCCAAGGAACGACGACAGAGTCTCACCTGCAAGAGTTGCCCGGGGCATTAGTCTGCCAGCTGGGGGCGATGATTACTGCTGTGTAATCTCATTTGAGTAACTTGCGGCATCATTTTCGGACTTGGCAAATTTGGATCCTCACGCCGGCACGCAATGGCCCGCTCTTGCGAATGACATCAGGGGCGTCTCGAATGTCAACTGTGAAGCAGACGCAACAATCGTTCCGGTTGTTGTGCCCGTCGTTATAACCAGGGCGGCCGCCGGATTTGAACCGTGAACCTTTGCGACAAACAAGCGGCGAACGCGCCGCCGCTCGGTCATGCCGCCGTTCCACTAAAGTTGGCCGCGGTGCCAATAATCGATGTCAGGTCATTGGGTTCGTAGCGCAGCGAATTACGCTACGTCACCGTTCCCCACACCGCGCACAAGTTAAGGCTAATTAAATGCAGCCTTAAGTCTTAACAGACTGTTGGGGAAATTAGCGCGGTTGGCTCCATATGGTGCGAATGAAGTTCAACATACATATGTACGTTAGCGAACACCTGTGAAGGCTAATACGGCAAAGTAATGGGGTGATGTGTGGTGAGCGCCAAGTTTGCTGGGGACACGCAGACACAGCGAGTGTTTGCCTCGTTTGCGTAAATTAGCATGGCGACACGGACGCAGCGTGTGCGTCTCCCAACTTGGGTTACCCGCGACAAACAGACATCAGCGGGCCCCAGACAATATCGTGTAATCTGAGAACAACTGTGCTGTTGGCCGGAAAATCGGCCCCTCAGTTAAGTCCCCCTTCCACTACCTGACCAACGAGTTTGGATGTACTTTTAATTCGTACGGTTTTGGTTAATAACGAACTTTTGGGCCGATGGTTCAGTTGAAAAGTAAAAATTGCTTTCCTCGCCGCAGCATTTTGCGCCGGGCAAAGTTGTCTGTGATGCTAACACACGAGCGTGCAATTTCTGTGGGGTGCTGTGGCGATACGCCGGTTTTTACGCATTGCTCGGCGAGCCCCGTTGCACTCGGAATGAATGAGTGAGAGTGCGGGAGTGTGTGCTTCTGAATAACTGTCTGTGTGAGTGTTTGTGTGTTTGAATGAGGTGTGCAATCAGCTGTGCGGTTTTCAGTGTGCACGTATGATCTCAGGTCAGGTGGCCCAGCGGTAGAGCGAGAGGCTCGTAATCGGAAAGTTGCGAGTTCAGATCCTCATTGGGGTTTAACTCGGCCTATCATCATCATCCGTCCGGGGTCGATAAAATTAGTACCACATGCTGGGGAAGTCAATAGTGGTCGTCATATGAAGAGTCCCACCCCACGCCAAAGGAATTCGGAATTTCCACCACTGGCTCAGGCCTGTAAACAGGAGATGAGCCCCATCGTTTTTTGCCCAGCTGAGACAGCTGTGACTGGCCATCCCGCGATGGCCCAGCTGTGACAGCGGCGAGTGACCGCCACCGTTTTGTTGTCCTTCTGCCCAGGGGAGATGCGGGGGAAGCTCTACGATCTCCTGCTCAGCGGGAAATTCACGCCGCAGACGTTGCCGGTGGAGAAGCTCACGGAGGAGGGGCCCGCCGACACGTGCCAGGTGAGGTTGGCTCTCCTGTATTTACTGTTCGTGTTGTTGTTGTTGTTGTCGTTGTTGTAATTCCCTCTTCTCTAAACTTGTTTTACGGTGACCAGAGGCCTTGGAGTTCAGAGCGCTGAGCTGGCGCTGCTGAAATCCCAAGTTTAAATCCAGACAGACACCGGTAAAACCCCAGGGTCTCAAACGCAGTGAATCGATGGTCTCAGCCCAACCACCAATGACCAAGCAAAAAAAATAGCCACCACGTTAAATTTGGTTGTGCACTTAAATTTTCTAAATTCCAGCAGTGTAAATAACATTCTTAATTTTGACCAATCATGTGTGAAACGTTACTCTCAGCGACAGGACTGGTGGAAAAGTGCTGCCCCTACTGTATGGACCACAGGTCACTTGAGGTCTCGCTGGTAGCTCTGTGATATTTGTTTACCTGGGTCGTTGTCTAGCACGGAGGGGTGCATAATGCTCATAGCACAATTGGGATGACATCTGGGACAAAGACATTTCTTTCTTGAAACCCATTTCACCCGGTCTACGCTGCGAGCGCACGACAGTAACTCCTTGACGTTTGTGCGTGCCGCCGCTGCCGCCGCTGCCATCTCAGCCCTGTGACCCGCGCCGCCGGACGTTGAGCGAGAACGGCTGCTACCAGAGCGCTGCATCGGCGAGCCTGGCGTCGGCCGACACGCCCTACTCCACCGACACGGCCTACTCGAGCGGTCTGCGCGATACCCCGGCCTCCTCCTCGGTACTGCCGCCGACGCCGCTGTCGTCGGCGACGCAGCACGGCACGCCGGGCTCCGTCGACTCGCTATCGTACGGCTCGATGCACAGCGCCGGCACCCCGGTCTCTCTCGAGCCGCCGCAGACGCCCACCGCCTCTTGTTCCTCCTCGTCGTCAGCCGCCCCTCTTCACGAGGCGGCCTACCTCCCGACGACGGCGAAGGAGGGCGGGCGGCGCACCGCAACCGGCGCGACTCAGCGGTTCTTCCCGGCGGAAGGGTACGCCGGCCAGGGCCTCGAGCACAAGTCGTTCGCGGCGCCGCCCGAGACGACGGCGTGGCAACAGCCACTGCTGCCGTCGCCGTCGGCGTTCCACGGGTCGGCCCACCACGGCCGCCCCGGCGGGTTCCCCAATCATCCGCCCCCCCCGCTGCCTCCCCCGCCGACGACGACAACCTACGCAGGATACCCGGGCTCGTCGGCGACAACCCCGGCGGTGCCGGCGGCGGCGGCGGTGACCGCCACGGCCGCTCCGCCGACTTCCGCGCCGTGGAGGGGAGCGTACGGCGAGCCGGAGCGGCCAAAGTCGCCCCCCGGCGAGGGACCGCCCCGGCACGGGGAAGGGAGTGATGGCTCGTTTGTGACGGCCAAGGCATCGGTGGCGGCTGACTCACCGTCGCTCTCTCGGGAGAGCGGAGTGAAGGTGAGGAGTGATGGCGGTTTGCGTCTGTAGAATTGTCTAAAGGCTCGTCTTAGACCCACCTCGATGACACCTTTACAAGTTTACAGTCTTTTCCATTCACACAATTCCCACCTTCCCCTAGAGAGCTATGATTAAAATGAATATATCTGTTTTTTTGCAATTAATGTAGAAAGCATGAATGCATTAGCTCTGGCCGTCCGTCTGTTATGTCGTGCAATACGAAGAAAACGTTGCTATAAATTAGTGTTGATGCAACATTAACACTGTGTGGGAACTCGCAGGTGTCACTGTCGAAACTTGCTAAATTGAAAAACTATTTTTGCAATTGAGCCAAACGGGTAAAGCCACGTCGCAAACTTCGCCCCCTGCCATGAAACTGCTGCGGACCTGAGCCCCGCCGTGATGGTTCTGCATCGTAAGAATGGCGCCAATACCAAACGCACCTGCGTGATTTGATTCGGCGCCGGTTTGTGTCGCTCTCTCTCTCTCTCTCGCCGAGAAGACTTCCCGCCGCACGCCGTCGCCCGTGCCCTCCGCCTCCTCCACGCCGCCCCCCTCCTCGAGCCTGCCCGGCGAGAGTCCCCCGGGCTCGGCGCAGCCGTGCAGCCTCGACTCGCGCATCGAGATGCTGCTCAAGGAGCAGAGGGCGAAGTTCCCCACCTTCCTCATGGACGACAACGTCCCCAGCGGCGAGAGGGAGGCGACGCGCGGACGGAGGAGGCCTCCGTCCCCGCCCACGCCTCCCACGCCCATCTCCACCATCTACGGCTTTGAGCTGGAGGAGATCTCGCCGACACCGTTGTCTTTCTCCGACGAGTCGGACATTGGTGATGAGGTGGATGACAGTCGCGACGAGAGGAGCTCGGTGAGGATGGATCAATTCGTAACTTCTCCCCCGCTGCTGAAAAACCATTTCGATGAATTGTCGCGATTTGGGCACTGGTTGTGATTTGATTGATAGAATCGATCCTGTATGGTTTTTATTTTTCACTGTGTCATTTGTATCGTTACTCACATCTATGGTATTGTGAGTGCAGTGACATTATGTACGTGTATGTTGAAATTCTTTCTCACCGTATGTAGCCAATTGTGCTAATCGGAGGTGCGGGGAGAAGCACAAAAAATTAAACACAAAAGCATTCATAGATATACTTTTTCACATTTTGGCTATTTAATGAATTGTTGTGATTTAATATAAGAATCAATACTTTTTGTCCCATTTGTCTAACCTTATTTGTATGGTTCATTTTTAGTTTGGCCACCTCTGAGTTCTAATTGGCTGACGTTCTATGCCTAGCGCTTAATTTCCGCCTGGTCTGCCCAGAAAATATTTCGGCACCTGGGACGCCACATCCAGTTTTCCTCTCACTATGGCTGTGGCTACCAATTACGAGCCACCTACTCCAGTCCAGCGACCCGAAAAGAATTCAGTGAGAAATGAACCCCTGACTTTGGTCACAATTACACTAACGATCGCCCATGCCTTCTTTAAAGTGTCTGCAACGTACGTCCGAAATCGTATCGTTGCCCTCGCACGTCGCGCCAACCAAATGAATGAAACGACACTGACTAAGCGCCGCGTCGCCGCTTTTCCCGCAGAGCTCAACGATCCTCAAGGGCGTGGAAGCGATGGTGTCGACGCTGCGCAAGGACAGCGAGCTGAGGCCCTCGAAGCCGGACGTGTTCAGCCCGGACACGCGCCTATCGTTCAGCTCCGAGAGCGGCGGCGCCCACACGCCCAGGGCCGAGCAGCAGCAGCAGCAGCAACCTCAGCAGCCGCCGCCGACGACGCCAACGACGTCGTCTTCGTCGCGGCCGAGCAGCAGGACTCAGACGCCCAAACAGGACGTTTGGCCGCAGACGCCGAAGCAGGACAGCTGCCCGGCGACGCCCAGCAAGAGCCTCGGTGGCGCCAAGCCCGACAGCCGCCCCTCCACGCCGAGCAGGCCGCCGCCCCTGCCAGCTAGGTCGGACGGCGAGGGCAGGCTGCCGTCGGAGTGCGCCACGCCCATCGTGGACGCCGAGGACAGCAGGGGGGCAGACGTGGAGATGGTCGAGGTGCCCAGCGAGGTAACGCTCCGCGACGGGAGGCGGCGACGCTCGCCTGTGGCGCGAGGGTCGGTGGGTCGTGTCGGTTTGTGCGCAGCGGTTACTGGAGCCGAGGGAGTGGCGGGATGCGGAGGGAGAGGGGACGGGAGAGGTGGTAGAGGGCGTCCAGGGGAGTAGAGTGACACGAGAGACGAAAGGGCAGAGCGAGTCAATGGTGGATCTTGGAAGATCGTGAGTGTGATCTCTAAATTTATCTGCGATTGGATTGGGAGCCAGTAGAGGGATCTGAGTGTCAGGTGCGAGTCAGGAGCCTGGCAGTGGCATTTTTTATTTTTATTTCTCATGACCATTGTTCACTTTGTAAAATGTTTGGTGTTTAATTGGCCTTGTGTTCTTGTTGATCTCCGCAGCCTCCACCTCCCAAAGAGCTGTCGGACGACGACATGGACATCTCGGACAATGAGACGGGGCAGTCCTCGTCCATCTCCGCACCCATCGAAGTGAACTCGCCCGTACCCACCTCAGTGCCCCACCCCCTGCCAACGTCCATCCCCCCCACGGGGCCGCCCCCCATCAACCTGCCCCCCCCGCCGATCCCCCCGCCCCCCCACCCGCCCCCGCCGGGATTCCCCCCCTCCATCCCGCCCCCCTTTTCCATGCCACCCCTTCCGCCCCCTCCCTGCGTTCCGCCGCCCCCTCCTCTGCCAACGCTGGTGCCGCCCCCTCTGCCGCCTCCGCCGCCGCCGCCGCCTCCTCCGCCGCCGTCCTCCGTCCTGAGGCCTCCGCTGCCGCCCCCCCCGGGGCTGCCGATGCCCCCGCTGCCCCCGCCGCTGCCCCCGCCCCACTCGGCCATGCCGCCGCTGCTGCCCCACTTCCACTACGGCATGCCCAACCAGGCGGAGCTGGTGCGGCACTGGTTCCGCAGCACCGCGCCGGGGGCGCCCATGTCCTTCCAGATGCAGACGCAGATGCTGAGCCGCATACACATGATGCAGCGCTACTCGGCCAACTCGGCGGGGATGCCGGGCCAGCCCGCGCCGGGCCAGCCCGCGCCCCACGCTCCGTACCCTTACCCGTACCCGCTTCCCAGGCCTTCTCACGCCGGCGGCGCCGGTGGTCCCGGCGGTCCCGGCGGCGTCGGCATGGGCGGCATGGGTCACTTGCAGGGGCCGCCGATGTCTGGCGGTGCCGCGCCGCCCTACCCGTCGGCGCAGCTCTACCCCAAGCTGCCGCTTCCTCTGCCACTGCCGCTGCCGCTGCCGCCGGTGACGTTCAACCCGGCGGTTCCCCCGCCAGGGTACAGGCCGCCCCCCAAGAAGAAGGACGACCCCCACCAGGCAACGATCGATGGCGTGCTGGAGGCCGTGATGACCGAGCTGAAGAACATCATGATCCGGGACGTGAGGAAGCGAATGGTGGAGGGTCTCGCCTTCAAGACCTTTGACCACTGGTGGGAAAAGCAGGAGAGGAATTTCAAGGTGAGGTGCTTGAATGTCGCTCGCCGGGATGGGGAGTTTATTTTCTTTTCAGGTTCGTCACCGTCGTCATCCTCGTCAGCTCAGTGGGCCTTACCTAGTAAAATTAAAATAGTTTAGTTTGTCTCACACGGACCACGGGGGTTACAGGTTCTCTGATTTCCTCCGACCTGAAGACGAACGCTTGTTAATTAACTTAAAATATCCTCACAGCAGTCGGTTAACTTGACAATGTGAGTTTTCACAGCCAATATGCCATTCGGTTCATAATTAAATTTTTAGGTCGCAACTTAATAATTGTAACTTGGCCAAACTCAAAACTCCGTTATGAATCGCGCGACGCATTAATTGAATTGGCCAAACCTCTTGTGGTGTAAACATAAGATTGCGAAATAAATCTTGCCCACGCAAATCAACACATTAATCCCTTATTTGTCAACCGTTCATTCAATATATTTAGCCAATTAAATACTGGACGCTCCCGTAAAGACAATGTCCAAAGCGAGTGTCGCGCCCGTGTCCCAACAGTGCTGAGATCCAACCGCTCGTTCTTTTCTCTCTCTCCTGCGTCCGCCGCGCAGACGCCCTGCAAGGAGGAGGAGGCCGGCAAGTCGGAGGAGGTCGCCAAGCCGGAGGACGCTGGCGGAAAGAGCGACGAGCCGGGCAAAGTGGCGGCGGAGCCCATCTCGGCGTTGCTGTGCGGGCCCTCGCCCTTCGAGAGCTGGGGGAAGGGCTCGGTGCTGGGCGTCGACGGCCTTGGCTTCGGCATGGGCCTGCGCGGCGCGCTGAGGTTGCCCTCCTTCAAGGTGACTCTCAGTCCCAGGTCAAAGGGATGACTCGCCCTCGTGACGTCGCTTGGAGCGGACGTTGTTGTCGGCCTCCTGTAACTTCACACTGCTGGGCGAAGGCCTCCCCCCCCACCCACCTCGCTCTCTTCCGTTACTTTCTTTCCTCAGCTGTTGCTGTACAATAGCGGCCTCCAAACTCTATCTGGTGCCGTCTCGCTCCTGTCTTCCCTACCCCCGTCTTCCTCCGCTTCTCTTCCCTTCTGCCGGTCTCCCCTCCAGCGTTAATCTTCCGCCTCTCATCAGTCGTTCTAATCACGTTGTGCTGCTCCATTTCCACAACATTTTTATTGTAACTTGACAGCAGCATCGTGAGTGACCACCAAACGGTTCCTTCCCTTCTTCCTATGTCCCCAGGTGAAGCGGAAAGAGCCCCCGGAGCCAGCTGCCGTGTCGGAGCAGAAGAGGGCGCGCCTGAGCCCCTCGTGCGAGCTGGAGGAGGAAGACGATGAAGGTTTCCATATTTTATTATACTGTATTTTAGCATCAGCGTGGCCTTAACCCGTTGCATACCGGCACATCTCCACCACTGCCAATAGCACAATGGACGACCACCTTTGTGCGTGTGCTTTTGTGTGCGTGTGTGTGCGCATGTGTGTGCGTGTGTGTGCATGTGTGCGTGCGTGCGTGCGTGTGTGTGTGCGTGCGTGTGTGTCTGCGCGCGCGTGTGTGTGCGTGAGCAGAGGAGAGGATGAGCGACGCCTCGGAGGCCGAGGGGCAGCCGGTTGGACGCGTGCGGAAGCACAGGGTGGCCCGGCCGCTGGAGCTCGACAGCGAAGGGGAGGAAGAGGAGGAGGAGAAGAAGGTGGGGATCCACCATGTCGTCGCCCCATCCAAACGGCGATCCACCCTGCGTCGCCGTCGTCACACGCGAAGGGCGCTCCACGCCGTGGAAATAGTCGATCAATCCGTCGATCATTTCTGCGATGAATGAAATTGTGTTAGCAGCATACTTTTGGAGACCGGGGGAGAGATGGAAGGATGTGGTGGAATGAGATATGAGGATAGTGCATGGCACAGAATAGAAGTTCATGGGGAAAGAACATTTTATCAGGTGACCCTATGCCGTCATCGGACTTTGGGTCAAAAAACAACAACCCTTTTCAGATGAAGCTTCACTTTACACTGATTCTATTCCGCCCTTTTCTCCCAGGAGCAAGAGATGTCAGTGGAGGAGGAGGACGAGGAAGAGGAGGATGAGGAGGAGGAGGAGGAAGAAGAAGATGATGATGTGGAAGAGACGGAAGAGGCAGCGGCAGAATTGGCGGAAGTGGTGGAAGAGGAACGCTCTGACGTGGAGAAGAAGGCGCGAGCAGTTGACGTGAAGATGGAATCGGATGGTAACGACGCCGGCTGGACCACAGACACGATTCCAACAGTCGATTCGCAAAATCTAGTTTAGACTGCGTAATGTATGCACGTTTTGAACCGGGCATGATCCTGCAAAGGTGATCGGGCATTCCTCGGGGCCGCTCGGTTCAACACAAATACAAAAAACCGCCCTTAACGCTTTTCTTTCCTATTGACTCATTCCACAGGCGCTCAGACGGCCAGCGAGGTCTCCTCAAAGTCCGGCACGGAGTCGACCTCCGCATCCGGCTCGGAGTCGCAGTCGGAGTCGCGTTCTGGCTCGGAGACGCAGTCGGAATCGGAGCCGGAGTCTGAGCTGGAGACGGCGAGTCGCGTGTCTCCATCGGACGCCCGCCCCGCGGACAAGGCCTCGTTGTCCATCTCCTCGTCCTCCTCGTCGTCGTCGTCTTCGTCGTCGTCCTCCTCCTCCTCGTCGTCCTCCTCCTCCTCGGAGTACGAGAGCAGCTCTTCGTCGTCCGAGTCGTCCGAGTCCGAGTCGGAGGAGGAGGAGGAGAGCGCGAGGCGCGAGACGAGAGCGCGGGCGAGCGCTGGTGCCGTGGCGGCGGCGCTGGCGCGCGACGACGAGGACTACACGTTCGACGCCGACGACGAGGGCGACGAGGTGCCCACGGCAGGTATGGGTTGCCCCCTCTCGCTCCGCCGTCCCCGTCTGCCCGTGAAGTGTTCACCCCCCCCCCCCACCCCCGCCGGCAGACCGGTGCTGGCCATGTCGTCGCTGGCAGTCTCGTCGGCCTGTGCGTTTGCCGTCGGTGAGATCGGCGGTCGTGCCGAGACAGCTTCGGTCATGCAGGTCAAAGTTTGATTAGGGATTTGAGATCCAAAACGTGCGCTCTGTATAATTCAATTGGCTCCATAGACTAACAAAGCGCCCATGGACTGCTGTAGAACCCTTAGATTAATATAGGACTTAACTAACATTGAAGTCATACGAACAGAACCCATAGTATAACATAGGACCCGTAGACTGATATTGAACCCATAGATAATTATCAAAACCCATAGACTTAACATCACATGCCAATACTGTTGCAGACCTGCCGGCGTTCTGCGAGCACAAGAGTGCGCCGGGTTCCCCCGTGGCGGCATCGCCGCCGCCGCCGCTTGCCGTTGCGGCCGCTCCGCCGGGCCGGCCGGTTGCACCGCTCGGCGTGGGGCCGGCCACGCCACCGGGCGCCCCGCCGCGCTCGGACGAGAGCGACCTGGAGACGGCCGAGTGCGACGACGAGGAGGAGGGGGACGTGCCTCGGACGCCCGGCAGGGACCCGCCGCTGCAGTCGACGTTCTCCGACGTCGACTTCCCCGAGTCGCGGGGGCCGCGGCTCTCCTCGTCGGATGCGGACTCCTGCGGCGGCGGCGGCGTCGTCGCGTGGAGGATTGCGGCGCAGAGGCCGCCACCGACGGCGCCGCACGGCTTTGCCGTGCCGCAGAGGGTGTCTTCGACGGCGCGGACGTCGCTGTCGGACTCTGTCACTCCCGCGTCGCTCCTGGGGTCCCTGTCGGGGTCGACGTTGCTCCCTCCGCGGTCGCCGAATCTTCACCTCAACATCCCCGTGACGCCCGGCAGGGACATGGGCTTCGTGTCGCCATTTGCCGAGGCTTTGCCGCGCAGCCCGGCCGCCAGTGACGGCGAGAGCCAGCGGCGCGTCCTCGCATCGGCCGACTGTGGGCCGCTGCCCGGCAAGGAGTTTCCTTCGTTTCAGAATTCGCGGACCTTTGTTGGCAAGGACGACGACACTGCGATGGACACCTCCTTGCCCCCGCTGGACGGCAAGGAGACGTCGAGCGGCCAGAAGAGGACCGAGAGTCTCTTCAGGAGGGGCGAGATCGAGTGCGACATCTCATCGGACGACGACGTCCCGGAGCACAACGGGGCCGTGTCGGCCATACTCTCCTTCCTGTCGGAGGACGAAGCGCTGGAGGAGAGTCGTCCCTCGCCCGAGCCGCCGGTGGACGAGAGGGATCGGTCCGAGACGAAGGACGACGTCGCTTCGCCGCAGGCCTCGTCCCCCGCCGTGACCCCCGATGACATCTGCAAGCCGAGGTCCGAGGCCAAAGTCGCCGACGTTTGCGAGGAATCGAAGAGGTCGACGTCGGACAAGATCAAGCTGCGGCCCGTGGTGATGCTACACTCGAGGGACTGGGAGAAGCTCAAGCAGTTCCGCTACGTGGACGCAGACCGGACGGAGAAGGTGGTGACACTGAAGCTCTCGGCGCAGCAGTCGGCCTTGCAGGCGGAGCTCGGCAAAAACCTGCGGTACAAGGCCGACTCCGGCACCGCCGCCGACGTCGCCGCCGAGCTGCTCGCCGAGATCACGCAGAAGGGCGCGCGGGAGTCGCGGGCCGACGGAGCGACACGGCCGTCGGAGGACGAGCGGGAGGACGGAGAGCTCGGGCGCCCGGCGGCGGAGAAGATGGAAGTGGAGGTCGTGTGCAAGCGAGAAGTGGAGGCGCCGGAGGAGACCACGGAGGAGACGGAGGAGGCGGAGGAGGAGGAACGGGAGGAGGATCGTCGCGTCGTCGGCGAGCTGCGCCTGCGAGCGGCCTCGTTCACCGAGAGCCCCAAGCCGGCAGAGACCAAGTTGAGATCGAAGCGCAGGGGAGTTGTTCCTGTGGAGACGGTGCCCGCGCCGTGCGTCACGAGCGAAGCCGCCGCCTCGCCTCCCCTCCTCCCGGGGCCCCCCTCGTCCGCCGAGAAGACGCGGTCCTCCCGGGACGGCGGGGAGCTCGTAGCCCGGGACTCAGAGTCTCGACCGATAGGGACCTCGATCGAGACCGAGTCGAGGCTCACTCCGCCGGACGAGGAGATGTCGCCGCCGCGCGACGAGGTGGAGGGCGACGCTTCGGCGGCGTCGCCTGCCGAGGAGGCGGTGCGGGATTCCAGGACTCGTGACGTGGAGGACTTGAGGCTTTCGGGCGCGGCCGAGGAAATGGTTGTTCAAGCCAAACTCGTTGAGAAGGTGCACGACCTGAAAGAGGAGCTGGTGTCGGTGGAAGAAGAGGAGTTGAAAGAAGAGGTCTTGAAGAGGAAGGTTCCAAAAGAAGAGGTGTTGAAAGACGACATGGATGTCACGAAAAATGACGACGTCATCAACAAGAAGACGGTGAAGGATGAGGTGTTGAAAGAGGAGGTAATGAGAAAGAAGCCACTGAAGCAGGAGGCCTTGAAAGACGACGTTAAAAAGAGGACAGTTCAGGAGGAGGTTTTGAAAGAGGAGGTCTTGATAAAGGCACTGAAAGATGAGGTTTTAGCAGACGACGCTGTCATAAAGAGGACGGTGAAGGAAGAGTTACCGAAAGATGACATCGTGACAAAGAAGGTGCTGAAAGAAGAGGAGTTGAAGGAGGAGGAGAGGAGTGAAGACCGGCTCTCCGAGACGATCAAATCCGAGGTCCTGCCTGAGGCCTTCCTGCCAAAACCCCTCGCTCAGGAGCCGCCCCACTCAGAAGCTCCCAAGGTGGACGTGAGAACGTCCACGCCGCAGCCGGGCGTCACGCCGATCGCCGCCGCCGCCGCCGCCGCCGTCGCCGTCCCCATCCCCGACGCGCTGACGCCGGTCGGCGTTTGCGGCGGCGGCGGCGTCAGCAGCGGCAGCGACAGGGGCGGCGTCGAGACGGCGCTGGCCGAGGGCCTCCTGGCGGAGGCGACGGCGGCCACGCGGCCCAAGATGGGTCGGAAGGGCCGGCGGCGCGGCCTGCGGCCGTCGGAGGGGCTGGCGGCGCGCATCCCCACGCCGCCGCCCTCGCCGCCCGACTTCCAGTTCCGCCCGCGCAGCCAGTTCGAGGAGATGGCGATCCTCTACGACATCTGGGACATGGGCATCGACGCGGAGGACGTGGAGTACCTGCGCACGACCTACGCGAGCCTCCTGACGCAGGACAACAGCATGGAGTGGCTCAACGACACCCACTGGGTCCCTCACCCTCATATCCTTCCCGTGATAGCGTCGCGCGCACGCACCCGCACGCGCACCCCCGCCCCCGCACGCGCACCCCCGCACGCGTACCCGCCGCGACACGCCTGCGTACAGACGGCTGAAGCAGAGGTCACTTCTTTAGCCTTGAATGTACGTAAGTGCCGCCAGCGTGCACCTATTAAGGCTGGCATGGCCAGACACCTTATGGGGGGGGGGGGGGGGTCTCTGGCCAGTTCAGGAATCGCTTGCTACTCAGGATGGCCGTGGCTGGAAATCGGATTCGGGTTATCAGGTTCACAGCACTAACCACTGTACCACCGTTCCCCACCCCCCCACCCCAATGCACGATCACAAATATAAAGATCCCCCGTATAACCTTAACAGTCTGTTGAGGCAAGTGCTGTTAGCGAGCACCTATGAAGGCCGGCACTGCACACGAGGGTGGCCAGCACCACGCCCGACGAGCTTTAGCTTCCTTGTGGCGATGTTTTACACACAGCACCAGGTCCTCATATGAGGCTGAGTCGACCTAGGGGAGGCCCAGGACCGGTTCAGATAATCGTCACTAATATTGGCCGTGAGCTAGAATCGAACTCGTGTCACCGGGCTTGTAGTGCAGCACGCTAACCGCTGCACTACTACTCACACGGGCACACGAACACAAGCACACAAATACACCAACACCACCAGATGCAAACACATGAACACATTGACGCACGGACACACAAACGTGAGTACAGCAACAACAAAACAAAGACATCAATATTGTAGAGAATGAGTACATTGTCTTCGAGCAGTATTGCACAACTAACCGAAGAGACATTTTACGAGGTCAAGGGACAAACCACAGGTGTAAAGCTTTCGTGACTTCAGGGATTCATCTTCTTGGTTCTTTCGGTAAAGTCACGTAGAAGGGAAGTAATAAAATAATAAAACATAAAAAAATAATTCTCACGACGTTTCGGCCACAACGCAAGCAGCCGTCCTCAGGTGAAGAATGAAACACCACCAAGCTTGGAGCGTCTATTTCCCCCCTCCAACCCAGCTTAAATATACGCTCCAAGCTTGGTGGTGTTTCATTCTTCACCTGAGGACGGCTGCTTGCGTTGTGGCCGAAACGTCGTGAGAATAATTTTATTATGTTTTATTATTTTATTATTTTATTACTTCCCTTCTACGTGACTTTACCGAAAGAACCAAGAAGATAAACCACAGGTGGTTATGGGTCAACGCAAACACGTGGGTACGTGGTGACCACCACGCGCGGTGACCACCATGCACGCACAATTCGCCCCGCTGCGCTCCTTGACGGCGCCGCACACACGCACATCCCGCGTGCCGAGCGTCCCGGCGGGCGCGGGCACCGCAAGAAGGTGGCGAGCGACGGGCTGCGCGAGCACGCAACGGGCTGTGCCCGCAGCGAGGGCTACTACAAGATCAGCATGAAGGAGAAGGCGCACTACCTGGCCGAGCGGCTCGTCGCGCTAGACGAGCAGCTTCCGGCCGACACGCAGGTGACCCCCGACGACCGCCCGTCCCTCGCGCGCGCTTCGCTCGTTCCGCGCGCATGGCCCGCGCTTTGCTAATGAGACCGTCCTCGTACCTTGGGTCCTCACCGGCGGGCGACGCGGTGGCCAGATGTTAACCACTTGGCCTCGTATGCAGGAGGTCGTGGGTACGATCCTGACCCTGACACCTGCTGTTTATTCGGTCTTTGCGTGTCTCTCTCACCCTTTTTTAGCGTGGATTTTTCACCGGGTCCTCCAGTTTTCCCCCCCACATTTCTAATCAACGTGCGTTTGGAGTATTTGGCTGCAATACATGTCCAGACGATAAGCCACTTCATTGAGCTATCAGTTGTGGCCAGGTCACTAGACAGCTCAGTGGGTCTTACTTGCCCATGAATGAAACTCTTACCACTTGAAAGGGCGGGGCATAGAGTTTCAACTGATTACTGCTATATGCTTCTCCCAGTGCATACACAGCCCCTAGCCTCAGTCATTCGCAAGATGGTGACCCCGCAATACAAAGGGCGTTTTGCGTTCTGCAGTTCACCAAGACTGAATTTGTAATTGCGGTGCAGCGTGCGTTTCAACGGAGTTTTGTCATTGATCCGCCAATGTCAGAGAGCATTCGTCGTTGGTACCGACAATTTGAGGCAACAGGCTGTTTATGTAAGGGGGGAAGAGCACAGGGCGACCACGCACCTCAGAGGAAAACGTGAGAAGAGAGGCGTTTGGGACGAATTCAACTATCGTCTCGATGTTGTCCGTACAGCAGGTGGAGGGCACATAGAGCATTTATAAAATGGTTAGTAAAACTTGATAACTCATTAAACCGTTTGTAATTTTTTGTGTAATTGTAACATGTTGCCATCGTGAAATATACTGCTTTGAAATAGGGTCCATCTTTTTTAAACACCCTGCATATCTTGATTTGAAGCTTTCGTGACTGCAGGAATCCATACTCTTTGGTTCTTTCGGTAAAGTCACATAGGTAAAAAATAATGAAATTAAATAATAATAAATGAAAATAAATCAATTAAATCAAAAAAGGGCACAGCAAAATAATTGTAGCGACAGTTATTTTGCTGTGCCCTTTTTTACAGGTGGGAAAGTATGGTCTGCTGCTGAGGCAGACGGACGCTTCTGTTGCGCCCGAAACGTCCTGATTTATTTTCTTTTATACCTACGTGACTTTTCCGAAAGAATCAAAGAGTATGGACCCTGTATATAGTTGATAGGTTCACTCTGCTCGTTCCGCATGCAGGGCCACGCTTTGCCACTGAGACCGTCCTGGTCCCGTGGGCCCTCAACAGTGGATTAACAAACTTGCGAGCCGGCCTGACCCCGACGTCATTTTGTTGCGGTTCCATCCTGACCCTGGTGAGATGTTGTTGTGCTTCCGGCCTCATCCTGGCGTCGTTCTGTCGGTCGTCTCGCTCGCAGGGCATGAGCATCCCGGCCCAGCCGTCTCTGTCGACGCGCGCCGGCTCGGAGCGGCGCTCGGAGCAGAGGAGGCTGTTGGCGTCGTTCGGCAGTGGGGGTCCGGCTGACAGCGACCTCTTCAAGTTCAACCAGCTCAAGGTGCGCACCGCTCACGGTTACAGGACGACGCCTGTCCGGGCGCGTGTGTCCGTGCGCGTGTGTCCGTGAGCACGCTGCGCTACGAACCCGGCAACCCGAGTTCGGATTCCCGCTCACGGCCAATTACGATGGCAGAGATTACCTGAACTAATCCTGGGCCTCCCCTAGGTAGACTCGGCTTGAAATGAGGGGGCGATGCGTAAACATCACATCATCACATCATCACTGGAGAGACGAAGGGGATGATCAGGCATGGTGCTGGCCACCCCATCCCTCGTGTGCCATGCAAGCCTTTATCGGTGCTCTCTAACAGCACTTGCTGCTCCAACAGTCTCTTAAAGGCTGTACGGGAGATCTTTACCTTTGCTTGTGTACGCATGTTCCTGTACGCATATGTGTGGTAATATGTATATGGCTGACTTAGGCCTACTTGCAGGCCATTCCTGCATACACCTCGTGCCGCACAGAGACGGCTGTCACTCAAGTTCAAGTTTATTTATTAAGTATAGCCCTGTGATCCATTCGGCTCTTGATTCGGGTGCAACTGCAACAAAAAAACATGAACAAGAAAACATCTTAAAGTGAATATGTGACTAAGTGCAAACAGAAAATCCACTGAGGGGGGTCTCCTTGGCTAGACCGTAGCAAGCAGTCGGAATGGCTGAGATGAGATGTTAGGCGCTCATGAGACACAGAGGAATTTAAGCAAGGTCTCCGTATGACCCTTTGTGTGTGTGTGTGCGTGCGCTCTCACGTCTGTGTCTCCAGTTCCGCAAGAAGAAGCTCAAGTTCACCAAGAGCGACATCCACGACTGGGGCCTCTTCGCCTTGGAGCCGATCGCGGCGGACGAGATGGTGATCGAATACGTCGGCGAGGGCATCCGGCAGGTGGGTTAAAACCCCCCCCCCCCCCCCCCCCCCCCCACCTCCCCCCACCACCCCAACTCAGCCTCGGACGCTCTCGCTCGGAACTCGGTCTGATTCCAGGGACCACGGAAGCGTGCCGGTTAGCTTTGCCGCAGGGACCGAGGGAATTCATCGGCGTAGATTGTCGGGGCAGCCTTGGATACCGCGTTGCCACGGGACGGCAGACTCGGATTTGGCCTGGGTTGCTCAAATTGCGTGCCGAACTCGTGTTGGACGGACAGGTTGATTTGATTGAAGGAAAAGTAGTGGGTTTTTTTTCTTCTTCCGTGATGTGCGTGCCAAGTTACCAGAGTTGGGGCTGCCCTTTCCCAGCATTAGTTTGCTAGAAATGCTTGCGAGTCAGTGGACAAGCAACTGAAGGTGCTGCAGGCGCCGTAATTGTGAGAACAAAAAAATAACTTGAATTCATCGAATAGCTAAGCGGAGGCCGAACTGAGACGTGTCGAGTAGCGGTCGATGGATCGTGCGCACGCACGGTCGTGGACGCGCGAGTAAAGGGAGCGTCTTGAGTCACACATCCCATCCACAAGCAAGCAGCGGCCGCGTGGATGTACCGTACCGTACGTTGAACTTCTTTCGCACCGCACGTAGCCAACCGTGATTATCGGAGGTGTGCGGCGGAGGGCGGAAGGACACCAAATTAAACACGTAAAGCGGTTCTAAAGAAAACGAGTGGTTGTGCGGCGTGAGAAAACGCTTGCGCGTTTGGCCGGGCCACGCCATCGCGTATTCACCTCCGGGGGACAGGCGTACGTCAGGGGACGGTGGGGGGGGGGGTGCGGCAGGGGGCGGCAGGGGGCGACGTTCCTCGATGGGTGACGGTTTGGTAGGAGGGTGGGATGGGCGGGGGAGGAGGAAGTCCTCCTTCCATGCGGCTGATGTAGATGCAGAGCAACAACTACAATTTCACATTCGGGTGGTCGTCTCCTTCGTATTTGTGGTGGGTGGTGGTGGTGGTGGTGGTGGGGGAGGGCGGGTCCTGATCGTGTGCCACGTGGCGCCGCAGGTCATCGCGGACATGCGCGAGCGGCACTACGAGAAGGAGGGCATCGGCAGCAGCTACATGTTCCGCGTGGATCACGACCACATCATCGACGCGACCAAGTGCGGCAACCTGGCGCGGTTCATCAACCACAGCTGCAACGTGAGTGGCGGCGTTCACCCGCCCTCCCCTCCCCTCGCGATCTCACGAAGGAGGTTTCCGTTGTTCGTGCTCTTCCAGGCGAGGAGCGGAGAACGTTGTGAACCCTCTTTCTTTTGGAATCTAGGCCTATGGAAGTTTGCGTCTGCAGATTTCATGGGGTGCTGAATACAAATATAAATGTATTTAATTTGACTTGAAAATAACATTCGGTCATTTGGGCTGCCAAAAATATGTATCAAAACTTTATGTTCTTGGTTTTTTCGGTAAAGTCACGCAGAAGGGAAACAACAAAACAATATAAATACAAAACAATAAAAATTATCACGACGTTTCGACTGCAACACAAGCAATCATCATCAGGTGTGAAATCCACAGAAGTAAAATTTCAAAAACTTTGTTTTATATTTTTTTGTATCATTTTTTATGATAGGCCTACAAATGTTTAGATATGGAGGTTTTGAAGGGTGCAGCTTCTTGATTTTTAGACACTTGTGCCTGATCCGTTGGCCTCAGTGTAATTTTTGCATCTAATTGGCATGCGGTTTAAATATCCGTTTCACACGTGATTGTAAGCAAGGCTAGTGTTGCGTAATAATTGGTTTCATCGCAGGCTTTCTAATCAACCCCCCTATTAACTATCCACGTCACGTATCAAAGCCTTTGTTGGTTGATTCGTCTGACGCGACGGTCACGGCGTGCCGAGTGACGGTGGCGCTCTCACTCGTGCGCGCAAAACCCAGAGCCCGCGGCGTCGCGTGCGCTGGCTGGCAGTGACAACCGCCGCCGCTCACCTCCCGTTCGCTTTGTTTTCCCCATCTTCAGCCCAACTGCTACGCCAAGATCATCACCGTGGACTCGCACAAGAAGATCGTCATCTACTCCAAGCAGGCCATCGCCGTCAACGAGGAGATCACCTACGACTACAAATTCCCGATCGAGGACGAGAAGATCCCCTGTCTCTGCGGTGCCGAAAACTGCCGGGGAACCCTGAACTAGCGACGCCGGCACATCATCCGTTCGCCTGCTCGCTCGCTCACCCGACCAGCTCGGCCGATCTCACCTCCTCGAATGGGGCAGGGCGAGCGGGCGAGCTAAGTTCCCTGGGTCGGTCAGGCAAAGAGGACAGGAGCTGCGCGTGTGGGTCGATGGTCAGCACGGGCAACTGGCGCGTCGCGTCAAAGGCCGTGAAGGACCAGAGCAATTCTAGGGCAATGGTCACCGGCAATCTGCTCCAGCAAACGCATTCACGGTGGCAACTTGGTTCGCCATTTGGTATGGAGGCATAGAGTTCCCCCCTAGCCAATGAAAACAAGAGTTTTTCTTGAAAGTAGCAAAACATACCAACACAGAACAGTAAAATCGACATGTGCAATAACATACCAAGAAAACAGTAAATCTATGATTAAAAAGTGCGTTTGATGAAGAGTGATTGCTTTTCAGAGCACATCACCTCGGGTAACCATATAATGCCACGTGACGCCTGTCTTGTGATCCGATTGGCAGCCGCCCATGGGCAGAGCAGCGGTCAGATTTGTCCAGATTTTGGACAACTGCATTGTTGACGATAGAAAGTCATTTAGCAACTTCACTGCCAGCGACGATTCCCACCGATGATCGCCCTAAAATGAGCGTGGGGGCGCCACGGCCTTTGACGGCGACGCGAATGGCCCGACCGGTCTGAACGGCGACGAGGACGACGACGACGACGTGGAACCGGCACCGCCGAGAGGAGGCCGATTGTTTATTTTCACATTGCTGCTACTGGTGAACTTTTTGAAATGCGTGCAAAAGCAAAAAAAAATGTAAATAGTATATTTTTGTGACGGGAGAAGCACTCGCAAAGGAGGGAGATGGAACTCTTTTGATTGCTCAATGCTGGCGAGGAGGAGGACGACATGCCAGCGTTTCATTATGCGCACACGTTTTTACACGCCCAATCCCCCGTCCCGTTCTGCGTTTTCCGCGGAGCTCTCGTCGTTATTCGCGCCCGGTTCGAGGTGCTCGTTCACGTGTTTTTTTTTCCCCGGGTTGACTTGACATGGGGGGGGTCACGGGGTGCCAGGGGATGGGGGTGGGGTGACAGCGCCGCTACACCACCCCCCCCCCCCATCCCTCCGAGTACCCTCAACCTGTTCCACGGTTTACAGCGGCGAACAGCGAGCACGGTTTTCTTCCGGGAAGATCGCAAAACTGGGAAAACCGTTTTTTTGGAGAAAAAGTTTGTTGCTTGAATATTTAGTTTTCGTTTTTGCGAGTTTGACTTTGCGGATGTGACACACGTGTCCCCGTCGCCACCGAGAATCGGTCCCTTCCTTACCGGCGCGGCGCAGGGACTTGCCGTTCCGGCTGGCTCGGACGCCCGGGCGTTCTTCGTGTGCGAGATTGTGGTTTTATGGTTTTGTTGTTGCGAGTGACTGCGTTAGGGGTTTTGTTGAGGGGAGCTATGATGACGATGTTTTCTAAGTCACTTTCATTTGGGGTGGGTGGGGGGGGATGTTTGCGTTTCTTGTATTTTAATCGCTTTGGGGCTGTACATAAGACACCCGGGGGCCCAAGTCCACCGTGTGCATAGCGCGGCGTGGGCTCCCACCGGAGCTTCTGGCTCTTTCTCCGTGCACTCTTTGTAATTCTGTCCTGTATATAGTTTTGTAATTGAGCGCTGGCGAATGGAAAAACGTGAGTACTGTTAAATGGGGCGTTTGTGATTTTTCTTTTTTTACTTTGACGTTAGCCGAATTTTTGGTTTGGCGGTGACGTGGGGAGCGCGCTCGGGTTCTCTAGGAGCCGCGCGTTGTTGTCGTTGGGGTGATACGGGAGTGAAGTTTGCTTCGCCGGGCGAAGTCACTTGTGTGCGGGCATGGTTGCTGGTCGCCGGCACAGGTAAGATGGTGTGTGGCCCGGCGTGACGCCATCGGGATCGTAGAAGTGCTCGCACCGCACGCTCGGACCTGGATTTGACACCGGAGTCGATCGTCGGGATTTCAAATGTTTACCACGTATCAAGCTCAGGAGCGGGAAAGCAGGAGCAACGTTTTCTCTGAACACTGTGCCCATGGTGCACCGCGGGTAATTTTAGGATGGTCGCCGTCTGCGAATGAATGGTTTGCTGGAAAGGCTTGATCACCCCACATATTCATATAACCTACGCTAAACTTCTTTTTGAACAGGTTACATGCCATTTTCATAGTTTTTATTGTGTCGTGTACGCACACATGGTCGCACAATGACCGGAATCACATTTCTCATCCGCTTAATTAACTGACTGTTAACAAAAGCCTCCCACTGCTTTCTGGACAGATCTTGTGGGTTGTCGAGTTTTTTCAGCACATCCCTCGATTTATAATGATATCAATGTGGCTGTCCAGACCCAGACAAGTGTCATCGCTGCTTCCCTTCGAGGGCAACTGTGATGGCAACGTCCCATTGGTCACCGGCAAGAGGTAAAAATGACGATCCGAGGTTGTTGTGCTCTCAAATCGAATACATTCTTTCTAAAAAGTTGTTTTAATTGGCCGGAAAGAAACGTATGCGTTAACAAATGCTTCACCGATGGCAAATTGCCCGAGTTTTATCCTGGAGTTTAGAAATCTGCAGCGCTGGCCCATCGTCCTTCACGCGCGCGGTGACCGTTGTCGAATTGGCTGTTGTAGAAATATCGGTCCGAGTCTTTTGGCGTTGCCGGCGATCGGCGGTTCGAACTGTGAAGTTTCTCAGGGGGTTGTGTGCCCGCGTGCGAGGAGCGATCGGTCCCTCGGAGGTGTTGGTGGAGCGGTGTCGCGACACGGAGGGAATGTTGCCGTTCGGCACGACGAGCAGTTCGGTTGGGATGAGAGCGGTGTTTAGTCGGTCTCCACGTCAGGTCTGTTTCGAGTCTTGTCTTGGCGGCAACCTGTGGAATTTTAGTCTGGATTTTATTTTGTCAGCATTTCTTGGTGACGAGATGCAATCCGCCGACGCATTTTTGTTTTTAACTCCACGCGTATCGTCTTCGACTCGACTAAGACTAGAATCATTCACACACCGATCAAACGAACACTTGGACGAGAGCGAGCGAGTGCTGTTAAGTTTGTTTTTTGTGTTTGTGAACGCGTCTGGATAAGAACGCGTGTGCATCCATCACTCGGTCTGGAGGAGAGGTGATTCTAACCCGCAGGGATCGACGACCAAAATAACGAAATCATTTTTTTGACTTCCGAATTCAGTAGAAAACAAACCCCCCCCATCCCTCAATATATCAAGAGCCACAATGCACGTGATGAAAATACGTGACGGGAGGCCCTTAATAAATAATGCCACGAAGCAAGTTCCTTTTTAGAGCCGCAAGGTTTTGTGACTCCTGTTCCAACTCGTACCTTGGGTTTTAAATTTTTTTCTGTCTCGAAATGTGTCCGCAGCTGAAATTCGTTTTCTGCAACCATTGTTTTGTTTGCCCTAAACCCAGCCTCAACTCTTTTTTTTAAACGATTGTTTTTCTTTATATATTGTGCCTGTTTTGGTGCTAGACAAATTTAAAGCGCGTGAATATTTATTCTTTTTTTTTCCCGAACAGTCGTGGCTGTAATGTACAGAGTTGTATATATCTTGTAAGTTAAAATTTAACCCCTTCTCTGCCAGGACTGCGCCTGGGAGATGGATGCCGAGCGGTGATTTTGGTTCATTGTTAAGCACTCTTACGCTGTGTACATAATGTTTATAGCCGGACGAATCTACCCAGCCCTACATTGTCTAACTGTACCACAGTATGTTTTATAATATAAAGAATTAAAGCCTTCAAAGGTCTTTTTTTTAAAATATGTAACAAAGATACCTGCTGTGTTGGTGTGTATCAGTCATTTTGGCAGTGGCCGTATATTCATGATAATTGCTAAAGAAGCAGAGCTCTGTCGTGGAGCCAGAGCTCTGTCGTGGAGCCAGAGCTCTGTCGTGGAGCCACAAACGTCTCATGGAGCTGAGTCTGTCATATGCCAGAGCTCTCTTGCGGAGCTCTGTCATGGAGCCAGAGCTTCTTCGTGGAGCCAGAGCTCTGTCTTTGAGCCACAAACGTCTCATGGAGCTGAGTGTCATCCCAGAGGTCCCTTGCGGAGCTCTGTCATGGAGCCAGAACTCTGTCGTGGAGCCAGAGCTCTGTCGTGGAGCCATAGCTCTGTCGTGGAGCCATAGCTCCCTCGTGGGGCCATAAAGGTCTCATGGAGCTGAGTCTGTCATATGCCAGAGCTCTCTTGCGGAGCTCTGTCGTGGAGCCATAGCTCTGTCGTGGAGCCATAGCTCCCTCGTGGAGCCATAAAGGTCTCATGGAGCTGAGTCTGTCATATGCCAGAGCTCTCTTGCGGAGCTCTGTCATGGAGCCAGAGCTCTGTCGTGGAGCCACAAACGTCTCATGGAGCTGAGTCTGTCATATGCCAGAGCTCTCTTGCGGAGCTCTGTCATGGAGCCAGAGCTCCCTCGTGGAGCCACAGAATCTCACGGAGCTGAGTCTCCCCTCTGAGCTGGAGCTTTGTCGTGGACCCGGGCTGTCGCACGATTGGGACGTGAAGCTGAGTGGACTTGCCGATGACCGGTACCAGCGGTGTCAAGATCGGCCTCTGCGGAGGACGCTCGTGGAGGACGCTGCTACTGGGCAGACGGAGGGCAGAGGATCGACGCCCACAACAACGAGCGGAGCGCTGGGCGGATAAAATTGGCACAGATTGGAATACAGCTGGCGCATCTGCCACTCATCTCGGTCGACCCACGGCGCCTGGTTCTGTCCCGTGACTTCCTGCCAGCGAGCCATCGACTCTTCCGCGTGGCCTCGGAGTGCCGTGGCACTCAGCACAAGCGCCGTGGGAACATCACCGCCACATAGTGGCGAATGGCGGGTTATTGTGTGCGCGTAATAATATCGATATGTTATACAGAACACGTGGCCTCTAATACGCAACGCGCATGTACCGGAACTCGCATTACCAGCAAGTTGAGCTCTCGGCTCATCGAGTGAATTATTGTACATTCAGTACGTACGCATGGAGGGGGGCGGGGGGGTAACACAAATGCGCAGAGGTGGGACAAAGTCATTGTTATGCAAGTCCAAGTCGAGTCTGAAGTCATCAAATTCATGACTCGAGTCTGACTCGAGTCCAAGTCACATGACTCGAGTCCACACCTCAGAGGTAGGACAAAGTCATTGTTATGCAAGTCCAAGTCGAGTCTGAAGTCATCAAATTCATGACTCGAGTCTGACTCGAGTCCAAGTCACATGACTCGAGTCCACACCTCAGCAAATGCGTACGCTTGCGTATGGGGGGGGGGGGTGTCTACTGACAATGTACGCATACGAAACGGGGGGGGGGGGCGGTGAAAGCTCGATAATAATTTGTCGACATTGGCCTTCAAATGAGTTAGATAGTCCGGCGGTGGACTATCTGTTTGCTAAAACGCGTTAATATTATTAATCATTGATCGTTTCTGCGTGGATTAAATATCAGTCGTTCTATAGGATTCGGGGGGGGGGGGGGGGTGTAAAAAGTCCGCGTGCGTACAGGGAGGGGTACATTTTTAACAGATTTTTGCGTACCTACTAAATGGATGGCCCCTTTTCAGCCCTACTGCTCTCAATGGGTCCCAGGCTCTTTGATGGATCGCACACAAAATCCCAAACCTGCTGGCAGTAGAGGAAGTGGGATCGTGACCCCCCCCCCACTCCCGCTGAGCAATGTTTGGGTGAATGTTTCCCCAGGGTTCTCGGTTATCCTCCAAACACCAAGCCAATGAATGAACATGGAATTGGTCAAACATTTCCAAAGTGGCGGGGGGCCCTTCCGGGCGGACACGCGTTGGCATTGTATCTTGAAAATTGGCATCATATCTTCATTGGGACCTCTATTGCCAGTATGAAGAAAACAAGAATAAGTTTGACCCTTTAGCAGTAAAACGGGTGTTAAGATGTTTAAACACCAAATAGAAACATTTCGCAAGGAATCAACTACTGCATTAACCGCACACTACTTGTGGTGAACATGTAAACAAACATGTTCTCTTCTTGGTTCTTTCGGTAAAGTCACGTAGAAGGGAAATAATAAAATAATAAAAATTAAACATAATAAAATATAATTCTCACGACGTTTCGGCCACAACGCAAGCAGCCGTCCTCAGGTGAAGAACAGGTCTGTCGGAAAGACATTCAGACCTGAGGACGGCTGCTTGCGTTGTGGCCGAAACGTCGTGAGAATTATTTTATTATGTTTAATTTTTATTATTTTATTATTTCCCTTCTACGTGACTTTACCTAAAGAACCAAGAAGATGAATCCCTGCAGTCACGAAAGTTTTAAATCGAAATTTAAACATGCTCTCATCATTTCTAGATTTGAAGCTTTCGTGACTGCAAGGATTCATACTCTCGGTTTTTTCGGTAAAGTCACGTAGGTAAAAAAATAATAAATGAAAATAAATCAATTAAATCAAAAAAGGGCACAGCAAAATAACTGTAGTGACAGTTATTTTGCTGTGCCATTTTTTACACCTGATGAAGGAAGCTTGTGTTGCCTCCGAAACGTCGTGATTTAATTGATTTATTTTTATTGATTATTATTTTATTTTTTACCTACATGCTTTACCGAAAAAACCTAAGAGTAATGCTCTCATCGTGTATGATGCGTTGCCTTTGAAACGGATTGGCCGACACGAGAGACTGCAGCCTTCTTTAGGGCCTGGTCTCACTGCCAGTGTAAGGGGCCGTCCATAAATGACGTCACGCACCTGGGGGGGGGGGGTGAGAAATGTGACGTCACATTAAAATCCGCAACTTTAAATAAATATAGACAACACGTTCTACTTAATTAAATATACTTTTTAATAAGTGTTTTCTCTTACAACATCAGAGTGCAGCGCCACATTAAATACGCGCTACAATGACAATAGTTTAAAGCGATTTAAAGCATGTGTGTTTTTTTTGGGGGGGGGGGGGGGGCAGAGCTTTGTGACGTCATATTTGAGGGGGGGGGGTCTGACTTTTTGTGACGTCGTGTGACGAAGAGGGGGGGGGGGGTCAAAAATTGTCCAAAATCGCGTGACGTCATTTATGGACGGCCCCTTAGATCAGAGAACGCCAAAAGGCGAACAGGACAAAGACAATGGGGCCACGTATCAGACCATCATCATTCTCATCATCATCATCGTCGTCGTCGCAACAATGTTCCAAGTCAATCGTTATCCAACACGTGAACACTTTGCGAAACACTTCTCTTGAGTAATTGACGGCATGATGGCGAAACTAGTCCGGAGTTGTTTTTTAAAATCCTTTATATTAAGTTCACTTGCTTGCTTGCGTGCTTGCGTGCTGGCTGGCTAGCTTGCTTACGACCGTGCAAATCTTTCGGTCGTTTTTTAACCCACTTCCCGTCATCCAATCGAGCTGACATTTTCCACACAGACTCGTTGTGTGTGACAATTTATTTTCGTGAAAAAAATTCAAAAATTTTACACTGTTTAGGGAAAAAAAATATTTAATTACCAATTGCTTAATGGTGGCAGACAATCATCTGACCCATAGGTGGCAGCCATCTCAAGCCAGAGGACGAGTGGACTCTAGCCGCCACGCATATAAAGGATTTATAGTGAAAAACTTTGTTTTTACGGGTTAATTTTTATTCCCTTAAAACAAATAATGCTGAATCTTGGGGCTGGAAAGCCAAGAGGCTCACGGACTAAACACGTGCACGTGCAGATACACAATGGACTTTTATTATTGTTCACTCCCAAGGGCATTACTGATGGTAAAGTCGCAATGATTTTGAAGATTTGAGCTCGGCTCCACGGGGTTGAGGTAACTGCAGTGGGAGGCGACGTTGAAGTCGATCCTGTGTTTCTGTGGGAGAGTGTTTCTGTGGGAGAGTGTTTCAAGGGAGAGTGTTTCAAGGGAGAGTGTTTCAAGGGAGAGTGTTTCTGTGGGAGAGTGTTTCTGTTGGAGAGTGTTTCTGTGGGAGAGTGTTTCTGTGGGAGAGTGTTTCTGTGGGAGAGTGTTTCTGTGGGAGAGTGTTTCTGTTGCAGAGTGTTTCTGTTGGAGGGTGTTTCTGTGGGAGAGTGTTTCTGTGGGAGAGTGTTTCTGTGGGAGAGTGTTTCTGTTGCAGAGTGTTTCTGTGGGAGAGTGTTTCTGTTGCAGAGTGTTTCTGTGGGAGAGTGTTTCTGTGGGAGAGTGTTTCTGTGGGAGAGTGTTTCTGAGGGAGAGTGTTTCTGTTGGAGAGTGTTTCTGTTGGAGAGTGTTTCAAGGGATCAGAGGGGAGGGAGGGGGGAGCGTGGCTCGCGGTTGTACCGCTGACCTCAAGTGACCCAGGTTCGCCCCCGGGTCTCTTGCCACGTGGCGACCACCCGAGTCTCCATGGCGACACGAGGTCAACAACTTCTCTGTGGTCGAGTGGGGAGTGCGCGGGGCTGCGAGTCGCGAGCTCGCGGGTTCAAATCCCCCCCCACGGCTCGATCGTTTAATATTTTTTAACGTCATTTTACTTACAACGATCAAACGCAAAACAATCATGGCCAAGAAATCGTGTTTCTCTCTCTCTCTTCTCTACAGCTTTTATTTTGTACGACAAATACATACGTGGAATTGTCACCAGGGAGATCTTGAAGGGACAAAGGCGGTCTAGACCTGCACATTTTTCTTCAGTTTTCAAATCTTCGCCACCAGGGGGCGCTGCCCTAGCGGCAAACTGCCACGGGGCGCTGTTCGTTGAAACATTTTCCATCAAACTCTCGTTTTCGTGCAAAACAACGACTTTACATCGG